CTTCATTTTGCAGAAAACTGAAGCAAAGGGAGGTTAAATGATTTGCCCATGATCATAAAGGTAATAGAGCTGGGTTCCAAATTAGATTTTCCTGGCCAAGGCCAGTAGTACACGAGAGCTGTCTTCAAGTTTCTGCATGGTACCCAAAATATAGCAAGAAGAGCAAGGGACAGAAATTAACAGAAAGAAGTTAACATTCTCACAATGTAAGGATTAAATACCTAGCAATTAGAACTATTCAAAGTGGAATGAACTACCCTGGAAGGTAGGGAATGCCCCTTGCAAGAGGTCTTTGAGCAAAGGTTAGAAGATTATTTGTTGGGGATGTTGCAGATGGAACCTTTTTCATGTACAGGTTGATCTCTGAGGTCCCTAGAGATTCTGCAATCATGAAAAACAAACAGAAAATGTTTATAAATCAAAAATTTTAAAACATGCCCAAAATTCCTCTTATGGCACATTTATTTTCCTCATGGACTCATGTGACATCTTAAAAAAGGCTCAATCAATTAAGAGATAGAGTTCTTAAGAATAATTCTGGAAGGACACACTTAAGGACTTAAAGAAATTTTAAGAAATTTCTAAAACATGTCTGTGTGAAGTCCTTTTGGAGTATAACTGCCTTGAATTTCTGAAAGCTGCTGAAGAGGCTGAAAAGAAGTCTAATCAAACAAATATATTTTCTTCTATTCATAAATATTTCTCATGACACCAAGTATTCATCATACGAAGTGACGATTATGTGTAATTTTAAAAAAAAGCTTGAAAGAATGAAATGAAATAATGACAATTTAGCATGGCACACAAAAATAGCCAGCAACAGGATACTAATTATTACATGTAGCATATAATCTAGGGGAAGTAACTGGAGGGAGACTTTGAGACCTGAAACTGACAGATTGGCTTGGCTACATAAATGAGTTTATTTACCGAAATACCTTTCAAAACCAAATCAAGGGCAGCTAGGTGGCACAGGAGATAGAGCTCCAGCCCTGGAGTGAGGAAGACCCGAGTTCAAACCCGGCCTCACATACATGACATTTACTAGCTGTGTGACCCTGGGCAAGTCACTTAACCCCAACTGCCTCATACACACACACACACACACACACACACACACACACACACACACACACACACAAACCTAAATAATCTAACAAACTGAGATTATTGCATTGCATCTGCATAAACTAACTCATTAAAAGCAGGAGAAAATGAGCTGTTCTTTCTTCTAAACCAGGGATGGGGAACCTGCTGCCTGGAGGACACTTGTGGCCCTCTAGATCCTCAAGTGTGGCCCTTTGAGTGAATCCAAACTTCACAGAACAAATCCTCTTAAGGATTTAGGGCCAAATTTGAGGACCTAGAGGACCACATGTGGCCTCCAGGCCGCAAGTTCCCCATCTCTGTTCTTGACCTTAGCAATTTGCAGGTTTGAAGAACTTCAACATCTGAGATTTCCTAGATGTGGGCACTCTCATCACTGACACATCAAAACCCTTCCATGCTTTAGAAAAATGTTTTATGAGATGCTGAGGCCAAAAAATTCTATTGCCTGGTTACTGATCTGGTGGTGAGCTGCTCTGAACCAACTGTTATGGTATAGTTTATAGTAATGGATTTGGAGTCATATGTGTGTTCAAATCTTAACTCTACCACTTATTATCTGTATGTTCTTCTGCATGTCACTTTATTTCTCTAGTCCTTAGTTTCCTTATCTGTAAAATAGGGCTGGTACTTATACTATGTTTATTGTGATATCCAAATGGGATAGTTTATATAAGTGCTCTCTATATGGTAGTATATCGGCTATAATTTACATATTAGCCAGCTTGGTCTTCATACAAGTCCAGTACTGGGCCCATATTCAAAACTTGATCAGCTTTGCCAGAAACTGTACTCCAATAGGTCAGCATGCATTTATTAAACATCAGAATATATCAGGCATCATGCTGAGTGCTGGGGAAACAAAGGAAAGTTTAAAAAACCCCAGCCTCTTCCCTCCAGGAACTCACATTCTAATGGAGGACAGAGCATATAAAAATAACTAGGATAGATAAGATAGATGATAGATAGATATATACATACATGTGTGTATTATGTTTGTATATGTATATATGTAAATACATATATAGTAAATAAAACGCAATCTCAGAGGGGAAGGCAATATAGCTATTGGAGAACCAGGAAAGGCTTCCTGTAAAAGCTGGGATTTAAGCTGAGTCTTAAAGGAAGCCAGGAAAACTAAAAGGCAGAGGAGAGAAAAGACAGCAATCCAGGTATGGGGTGCAAAAACATGGATGTGGGAGACATTGTGATGTGTGAGCAATGGTAAACAGGCCACTGCAGCTTACTGTAGAATATGTGGAGAGGAGCAAAGAAGACTTGAATGATAGCATGGGGCCAGGCTGTGAAAAGCTTTAAATGCCAGGTTAATTTATATTTGATCCTGGAGGCGAAAAGAAAACCACTGGAGTTTGCTGAGGAATGGGGGTGGGGGTGGAGAGGGGTGGTGTGGCAAGGGCAAACCTAAACTTTAAGAAAATCACTTTCAAAACAGTGTAGAGGATGGACTGGAAGGGAGAAACTTGAGGCAGGGAGACCAAACAGAAGGTTATTTCAACAACATATTTTAATAATATTAAGATAGTTTAATTTGGAATATGATAAAACACACATTAAAGTTCTTTGGGGAGTCCTCAATATTTTTTTAGAGTGTAAAGGTATCCTGAAACCAAAAAGGTGAGAGCTGTCCTCATAGAGCCTAGTGTCTTGTGGTACCATAGTTAATGGGCATGTTACAGATGAAAATCCAGAAAAGGAGACTAAGAGAGAATGTTCAGATGGGTAGAACCAGGAGAAAGTAATGCAAAGTAATGCAATTAGGGAGAGAATGCCATAGATGATCAAGTGCCAAATGCTGCAAAGAAGTTAAGAAAAATGAGGATTTCAAAAAGGTATTTAGAATTGGCAAATTAAAAATCAACAGAGTAGTTTAAGTTGAATGAATCAAGTGAGAGGAAAGGAAGCAAAGCTATTTAGTGTAGACAGCTTTCTCAAGGAGTTTAGCCAAGCACTTGGCAGGCACAGTAGGATCAACTGAGGGTATTGTAAGGAAAGGAGATATTTTGTAAGCACAGGGGAAGGATGAGTCTTGAAGGAAGCCAGGATGCGGAAATGAGGAGGAAGAGTATCTGAGGCATGGGGGGACAGTAAGAGAAAAGCTACACAGTTGGGAAATTGTGTCATAGTCAAAAAACAACAAGAAGGCCAGTGTTGGAAAGGAGTAAAGTCTAAGAAGACTGGAAAGGTAAGAAGGGGTTAGGTTGTGAAGGGCTTTAAAAGACAGAGAATTTTTATTTGAATACTGGAGGTAAGGGAGAGCCACTGGAGGTGATGGAGGTGGAGGGCAATATGGGAAGACCTATTCTTTACAAAGATCACTTTGACAGGTAAGTGAAGAACCACCTTCTGAAGACATGAGGCAGAGAAACAAATCTGCTCAGGATATTGTAGTAGTCCAGGTGATGAGGACCTGGCAACTCTGAAAAAAGCAGACATACAGAAGAGATGCAGTGAATGTTGAAATGTCAAAATTTGGTAAGACTGTGTGAGATGAGTTCAAGTCAGAAGTAACATAGCTTTCCAGTTTTATTTCACAGAGTTCTCCTCTACATAGTCTTCATTCTAGGCAAACTGGAACATTAACTAGCTCTTTCCGGAACTCAGCATTCTAGTTTTTACAGGATTGCAGATATAGGACTGGAGGAAGGGCTGAAAGTGAACTAAGGCCCAGAGGGGTTCAGTGACTTGCCAAAGTGTTATTATGTAGTAAGGAGTAAATTTGAGATTTGAGCCCAGGTCCACTCAAATTGCAGTATTCTTTCCACTATGTTGTGCTGCATTTCTTTTCCATGCCTTTGAAAAGGTTATCTCCCATGCTGGAATGAATTCCCTCTTTATTTCCATTACTCCACATTTTATCTTTCTTCAAGGTTCAACTCAGGAACCACTTTCTCCAAGAAGCTTGCCTGGATCCCTCTACCATTTACTTTTCTGTATATGTTTCGACTCTCAATAGGATGTAAGCTCAAGAATGGAGACCGTCTTATTTTTTGCATTTGTATCGCCACTACCTAGCACAGTCCCATACAAAGTAGTTGTTTAACAACTGTGTTGTTAGATACCATAACTGAGATCACAAACATAACTTAAGAACTTTCTGCTTTGCTAGTGTAATTATACTAAAACTAGTAGGTCATACATCATATAAATAACAGACTTAGAGTAGGGCTCAGTGAAACTAAAAGTAAAAGGCTGATGAAACACGAAATTGCAAGTTCCATAAAGGCAGTATACTTCCTCTTGCTTTAAAAAAAATCTTTCCCAGTGTTTAGCATTAATAGTAATAATAATAATAAAATAATAACAGCTAGTATTCCAGATAGTGCTTACTACATGGCGGGAACATTACTAAGCACTTTACAATTATGATCTCATCTGATCCACAAAACAATCCCCGGAGTTAGATTTACAGATGAGAAAACTGAGGCTCCGACGGGTTTAAGTGATTTGACCAGGGTCACACACACAGCTGTGTCTGCGGCCCCATCTGAACTTCGATCTCTCCTAGGTCCCGAGCCCGGGGTTCCTCGGATTTGCCGTATCAGCATGGAGGCAGCACCAAGTTGTGAAGCAACAACTTAACTGTCTTTCTGTTGGCGAAGTCCCAACGACTTCGGATGAACAACATGCGGCATGCATGCAATTACCATGCAGCCAGAAAACAGGACGAACAAACGCTTCACGCAGAGAACCCCCAGACTGCGCGAGGTTGGGGTCCCGAACCCCGCCCCTCCCCCAGCGCACTGGACGCGGACACCCTCCTCTTCACCCCCTCCCATTCCGGAAGCTTATCAATGCCCCGCCGCTCCCGTGAGAGCGAGAAGCCCGGGGCAGGGAGGAAGGAGCCCCGCTCGCGACCTCCGACCCCGTCTGACCTTGACGGAGGTCGGGATCCTCCAGCACGTCGTAGGCCGCGTAGTCGGCGACGCCGTGCAGCCGCAGGATCTGCACCACGGCGTTGCTGAAGCCGCACTGGGGCTGCTGGGGAGTCCCCTTCAAAAACACCACCACCTTGTCCTTCTTCACGAGAGCGTCAAGATGCTCCCTGGAGGCCGAGCCCGACCCTCCAGGGCCCGAGCTCCAAGTCCGCAGTGCCGGGCCCCGCAGGAGGACCCCGCGCCCCAAGTGGAGCAGAGCTGCAGACGCTCGGCCTAAAGACCCGCTCATCTCCCGCAACCAATCGTTCTCCCGGCCCAGGACAATCTTGTAAAACCGTTCCTTGGTCCGAGCACCCGCGCCTCCTCGTCCCGCCCCCCCAGCTGCGGCCCCATTGGTCAAAGATTTGAGAACTAATGTGGATTGGAAGAATTTTACCTGTCAGCCCTTAGAAACCACCAATCATTTCACTGCGCCCCTTGCCGGGGGCGGGCGGCGGAGGAGAGATGGAGTACGGTCTTTACGCCTTCCACCACGCCCCGCCTTTTTTCTTTCACCTATAGAATATCTATTTTTACGTTGATTGGAGGTCCCAGGTGCCCATCGGTCAGGCTCGCAAGCCAATGATAGGTAACAAGGGAGAATAATGATTTTCCTGCGAAAAAACTAGTTGGCTGGGTTGTTTAGGGGCGGGCTGTGGGAGGATCGAAAAAAACCTGTTTTCAGTTTTAACCAACTCCTCAGGAGGGGCGGGAGGAGGAGGAGGAGCCGGTGGCGACCGCGTTTACGCCATTTCCTGGGACTGTTTCTTCTTCTTCCGGTTGACGATGACTTAGAGTTGTCATGGTAATACGGCCCAGGAGGCCTCGGGCCTGCGGGGCGGGGAGGAAAGGAGGAGAAGAGAGGCGCGTACTCCATCTCCATATCCCTGCAACAAAGGTTGGTAGTTTTCGGGGCCCGGAGGAGGCGGATGGAAGAGCGGGGGACAACGTTCAGCGTGTCTGGACTCCAACGCGGGGGACTGGGCCATCCCCTGACGGCCGCGGTTGGCCTTGCGCGAGGCCGGCCCCTTCTGGCATGCCGCCTTCGTGCGCAAGTTGCGTTGCCCCCTGGCGGTTGGAGCTTCCTTGGAGGCCCAAGAACAGGGTGCTTTCCTCAGGCCCGCGAAGGAGGAACCTTCCGACCCGGTGCGCTGGTCACGTGGCGGGGTCCCCTGGGGCGTGGGGAGGGGCTTAGCTAGGTCTTCCCGATCTTTTGATCGAATCCCTTTCTATTTACAGTTGAACAAACTGAGGCCCACTAACTCAAATCACCACTCTGTTCCAGGACCTCCTCCCCTCCGTCCTGGACCATGGCAGTAGCTTCCCCATTGGTCTCCCTGTCTCCAGCCCTTCCCCTGCTCAGCTGCCAGAATGCTTTTCCTGAACTCTGGGTCTGACGTTGTCGGCTTCAGTAAACGTGGGTGCTTCCCCTCTTGTCTCTCGGATAGACTGTGAAGGAGTTTTAACTTGCCCCAACCTGTCTTCCTCCTTATGTAGTACTCTCCATAGCGCCCCCAGACTTGCTTTCTTTCTGCTCAGCTCTCATCTCCACGCCTTTGCACAGACTCCCCCCCCACCGTGCCCAGAATCCACTCCGTCACCTTCACCTCCTAGAATCCCTCGCCTCAAGCATCACCTGAATGAAGCCTTTCCTGACTCTCGAAAGTTACTAGTGCTATCCTTCCCTCCTTTGTATTTAGTTAACTCTGTATTTGTTTTGGACACGTTTATTCTTTATGTGTATTTCTGTGTGACCACGTATCCACACATAATAAATAATGAACATATAACCAATAAATATAGAGAGATATCTGTATAGAGAAATACATGTTGTTTCTCCTGATTGAATGCAAATTCCTTTATAGCAGGGACTGTTATATTTGCCTTTGTATCTATGACATCTAGCACAGTGCCTGGCACATAGGCAGTTTAATGTTAGCTGACTGATTGAGGTTATGTTCGCAATAAATAACATAGCAGGGGTCTAATGCCAGTCTTATGGCTCCAGAATCAGTGCTCCGTATGCATACTCACTTTCTTTTACTACCATCCCTTCATATCTTCTGGCTGATCAAGTCAAGCCACAAATCTAGCATGGTTCATATTAGAACAGAGCTTCAGATTTTCCTGATCTCTATTTTTAATTTTTATCTTTTTCAGGTTTGAGCAGCAGAGTTTAATTCCAGGAATAAAAATCATAATCATCCCTTTCAAGTTCTCTCACCATTGGAATTAACTCCAAATTGGCCCAGTTATGGAAGAAACATTGAGTAAAAGCAATTGCTGATAGAAAAGGACAGGTATAGATTATTTTTTCACTCTTGTTAATTATTTGGGTTACATGTAACTGTAAAGGTTGTTTTATTTTGTTTGTATTATGTACCCAAGGCCATAAGTGAAACACACAGGAAAGGAACTCCAGAAAAAATAGGGCCTTTTCTGAATTTTTGAACAACAGACATGAGAATTTAAATATATACCACTAATTGATGCAGTTCATAAATTTATTATTCCCTCTTCTGCCTAACATCAATAAGTGATTCTGGGGAAAACAGTTTTAAGTGAAACGGTTTTGGGGTCAGTGCCAAAGGAACATTATTATAAGTGGTCTGTTTATTTACAGATGTCATTCTGTTACCATAAGTGTCTTACTTTGTGCAGTAAGGTGATAGAAGAGAGTCCAGATGAGAAAGGTCTTGAACCCTAGGTCTTCCTGACACCAAGACCAGTGGACCATCAACTATGCTATGCTGCCTTTCAGTTTGGTTATTACTCAATTTCAAGAAACATTTATTAAGGGTCTCTGTGTTCTTGTGAGTGCTTTAGGGGAGAGGGGAAGATAAAAGATTTAGATGAGACAGTACCTACCATAATGGAGCTAGCAGTCTAACAAAGGGCTGTAACTCAGGTATTATTAAGAATACTGTTATGAAGGGACTTGATCAGGGTATTCCAGTAGGATTTTTGTAATCTTTAGTTCATCTCTTAACATTTAAGAGCCTTTACAGAAATGTTTAAATCGTCTGCAGTCTTGGAATGCTCTGGGTTGTTTGTGCCCCTGAGTACACCTGACTTGCAGAAAGAACATATTCCAGAGGAAGCTGAGGCATGGCTGTTAAAGGACGAGCAGCATTATGTGCAATATTCCTCTGACATTAACTGAACACTGTTGCCACGGTGATGGTGACCCTTCCATGTCATTATCTATCAACCAACAGTAAGAGAAGCTTTGCAGTCAAGATATTGTTTAGCAAATGGAGAGATTTTTGCTGAACACTAAAAGCTGCTATAAAAATGTTTCAAGCCTCAAATGTTCTTTTGAAAAACATTTTCGTCACACTCGATAACATTTTTGTATCCAAATATGTTAGTGCTGTAAGGGACCTTGGAAATAATCTAGTTCAACCTCCTCATTTGTGCCTGGAGAGATTAAATAACTGCTTAGGTTCATACCTGGATAAGTGGCAAAGCCAGAACTTAGAACTTCAGTCTTAATACTCCACCTCCAGTTATCTTGACCATGTTTTTGTTATTTTTTTAAATATGAAACACTGATTTAACTAGCTTCAAATGCTATTGGCAATTCTTTAATAAGCCCCTTCCTGGAAATTGATTCAAAAAATCTGAAAATGAATTACAGTTTAATTATATTTAATATTTCAAAATTCCTGTTAACGAAGAGTTCTGTGGAGGCAAGCAGGATGGTATAGTATGGGTAGCGTGCTGGGCTTGGAGATCTGGATTCAAATGCTGCTGTTGGGGGTGGGTTGGGAGTGTGCAGAACAAATCACTTAACTTTCATGTGCCTCTTGACAATTGCCTAGAATCATAGCCTTAGGGCTATAAGAGACTTTAGAGGCCATGAGCCCAGCCCAGTGTTCTTAGAAATGAAGAACCTGGGCTACTGAGACTACGTATGTACTGAAAGACATAGTCTCAAATGAATAAGGGTCTACTTATTTACTAAGTCATTGATGAGTTAACTGCCGTAGTGAAAAGACATGCTACACCAGGAATTACTCCTTTGTGTATTTGCATATTCCATCTCTGTCACTCTTGCTTTTGCTGATTTTAGGCAATAAACTATTTAAATTGCTTGGTGTCTTAAGTCATTTTTTGTGCTTTTTCTTTTTCAGGTTCAAATGATGCGGGGTAAATGCAAGGAACAAGTATCAATATATGTAGAATTGCCTGTTGTGCTGAAGCATTACTTTAAGTATATTTCTTTGTTAGAAGGTTATCACTATGGATTTAACATTGTCATCTAGTATATACTTTTTTCCGAGGTAATCTAGTTCATACTTACATTATTATAGCATGATTTCAGCAAATTTAAAGGTAAGGTACATTTTTGGGTTTTTTTGGTTTTTTTGGCTAGGCAATGGGTTTAAGTGACTTGCCCAGCATCACAGAGCTAGTAAGTGTTATGCATCTGAGGCCAGATTTAAACTCAAGTCCTCCTGAATCCAGGGCCAGTGCTGTATCCATTGCACTATCTAGCTGCCCCAATCATTTTTTGTTTTTAAAAAGCATTAGGGATTTTAATTCCTAGAACCCTGAAAATATGTTTTACACAGTATTTTAAAAATTTCAGTGCTATGATTTTGTTGGTGTTTGTATTCCTACCAGTGATAAACATCTCTAAAGTTAGCTGGGAGTTAGGTTGCTGCTTAGAAAATAGAAACAATAGAGCTCCAGCCTTAGAGTCAGGAGGACCTGAGTTCAAATCCAGCCTCAGACACTTGACGCTTACTAGCTCTGTGACCCTGGGCAAGTCACTTAACCCCGATTGCCTCACCATCAAGTAAAAAAAGAAAGAAAAGAAAAGAAAATAGAAACACAGCCTGTCACTATATGTTTACTCTATAAATTAGCCAAATCTCAACTTTACTGAGGATAAAAATGCAAACTTTTTCCACAAAGAGCCTTGGCATTAGGCAGTAAGGAGTAACAGGTCTTTCATAATGGTTAAAAGTAGTTACTTTTTTTTTTTGATTTAAAGTATCAGGTGCTTCTCCTTTATCCATTCGAGGCATGCAGTGGTCAGGAGGAATACTTAAAAAAAAACATTTATAGAGTGCTTTAACATTTTGCAAAGTTCTTTACATAAATTATTTCATTTAGTCCTCACAGCCACCCTGTGACCTATGATGTAAGTGCTATTATTATCTCCATGTCACAGATGAAGGGACTGGCATTCAGGTTAAGTGACTTGACCAGAGTGACATAGTTTATAAATGGTCAAGCTAGGACTTAAACACATATCTTTCTTTTTTAAAAAATTTCAGTTAACAAGTTTTTTTTTAAATTTGATCTTCATTACCTCCCCTTTCAA